TTCCAAAGAGTTGAAAAAGAAGAAAAGTTCTTCAAATATAATTTAAGAAAGAGTTCCTAAATTATCTCCCAAAATATTATATAATTTAATATTCCTATACAAAACCGATACTTTTCTACTAGCGTAGAAAGAGGCTATCGGAACCGGAATTTGAAAGGTGGATACATTTAGAGGGAAGGCATTTGAATTCCTAAGTGAGTAAACACAACGTGTTGTTGTTATCAAACCGGGAATTGATTCCCTCATCCATCGTCAATTTGAAGGAGTTCAAGTTTAACGGTAAATATTATATTTACTTTCAAACAAATCAAAATTTGTATTATTACATGTTTTTAAAGATGACGATCTGTTAATTCGCCATATGTATGTACGAGTTATGTATTTAATTGTTAAATACATGTTTTAAAAATTTTAAATTCCGCTGCGTATAGCTCGTACGGTACATGCGAACCCAACACTTAGGTACTTAAATATTTTTTTATGTCTAAGTATAATTGAGTTAGGGTAACCCTAACCAAGTTTACTTGATTTCGGTCGGAACTTGACTTTGAAATTAATATGAACTTTACCTCAACTTAACCTCATTAATTTCAAACTCATTTATAAAAATGGATTGGAATTAAATCTAAAAACTTATCCGGTTATTAAAATAAATTAACCGGATATACTTTCGACTTAACGTCGAACTTGGAATTTAACTTAACTGAATAACTTTGACTTAAACATTAACATGAATATTTATTAACAAAGGGTAGCTTATATTAAAAGCTAGTAATTTCCTTTATTAATAAAACTCGGGGTGTTACAATCCACCCTCCTTAAAATATTTCCGTCCCCGGAAATACTAAAACTGAAAGTACAAGCTTATCGCAGAGCTTATACCGAACAATGACATAACTTGAGAATTCAGTTTTTGAATATTGAATATTAGACTATGATCTTAACTGGAAAATCATCAATTCACAAATTAAGTGAATTGTTTATTAATACTGGCTGGAAATGGACACCTTACTGAATATAAGTGTCCCATTGATTATACATGACATTAAAGACATGATTCTTGAATGCACTGGTCATCACCTCCTGGGTGATTGTTGATCTTCGGTCTGGACGTTGATTGTGGAACCCAAGTCGTTGGTACGCACAAAAAAATTTCAGAGATACACACATGTACAAATAAGAATAACTAGCAATCTCGGCAACTACCTTTCATGAACATCTACTCGATAACGCGGCACATCGTTCACGACACATTGCAATGCGGCACGCCCGCTCCTCATCTAGTGAGTGAGGCACGCCTGTATGCAGCACCTGGCGAACATTGCACCTGCGATGTCGACGTAGTCTGTATAACTGATCATATCTGTATCTCAAGCTAGTAACCTCAATGTACTATAGTGCTAACTCTCTAAGAT